TAAAAGACTGCAGTATGTAATTTAATTGTTGCTTCATTTTATTATCTTCTGGATAATTTATATTAAAGTCACCACAGACTATCATTAATAAATTTGGTTTATAAATTTTGTTGATGACAGCTTCTAACTGGGTAATGAATAATGAAAAATTACTAGACGGGGACCTATAAAAGGCTAGAATACAGAATGTACTAGATAAAAATTTACATTTAACAGCGCACACCTCCATGGCTTTGTCTATACATAGTTCATTAATGCTGACAGGTTCGTAATCCAGAGAGTTGTGTAAATATATACATACACCTCCCTTAATAAAAGACTTTCTACAATAACTAGTTCCTAAGTTGTAATTGGCTATGGTCACATTTTCAATTTGTGAATAATTTAGATGATGTTCTGTGAAACAAAGCATGTGCAGAAGTTCAGGATATAGATGGGCATAAATTTCACTAGTCTTATTTGCAAGGCCACAAATGTTTTGGTGATAAATTGAGAACCCATTTTTCTTTAAGACTTCAGTATGGTTGTTACACTGTTTTTCTTCTACCATAAAAAATCATCATATCTATCTAGTGGAAATTTTCTTTGCCTATTTGATTTACGTTGTGGCTTGAGAGTTTGCGGTTTACTTATTTCTAACATAACATTATCAACAGTACAATCTTTTATGCCAAAAAATTCTTAATCTCATTATCATGGTCATTATTGACTGCCTTCCAAGGCAAATAGATTGGTTTTGCATCTGTGTAAAAGATTTTAATACAAATTAAGGCAATATTCCTGACCAGTACGTTCTTCCCCATTTTATTAAGATGGAGTCCATGCCTTGTAAAGAGAGCTCTATTTAAATCATGGTGTAATAAAGTAACATGCTTAAAACCTTTGGTACATTTCACTAATTTCCTATTATAAACTTTTATCTCATCATTCACACATGACCAATTTTCCAGGTCGTACCTATGTGGAATATTCAACAGAACAATATTTGTATGAGAATTAGTTTTGATAAAATTCAATATATTTCTTAATGATTCTCTGGAATCATTTTTTCCTATTTCCTTAGTTCCACCTGGAAAAACTATTACATCATTAAGTGTCAAGGATTCAACCATAGACTCTGCCGTGGTAGATAAGTTACTTATGTCAGCTCCTAGCTTGACAAATCCTATTACTCTGGATGTTTTAGTTAAGTTGTCTCTGATCTTATCTACACCGTCTCTAATATGGCTATCACCAACGAATAAAATTAAATGTTTAGTCTTATCAACTAAAAGATTCTGCTCTAGACTTGCGTTTTTGTTTGAAATTTGCATGTCAGTATCACTGTCACCACTTTTAACTGCAGACAAATCGTTTTCTGAAAACTTTGAATAAGTATTACAAAGGACACAACAATTCACTATCGCACTGGCCAGTGTCCACAGTACTTGCTATTTTGTTGCAGGCACAAAAGAAATATGAGATGGTAGGCAAGATGAAGGTGCTGGAACCAGGAGACATAGCTCAGGCAGTGCTGTATGCTGTAACCCAGCCAGAAGTCTGTGCAGTCAACGAGATCCTAGTGGAGCCTCAGGAGGCCCCAATATAATGTGCATCAGCTGACTGCTGTTCACAGCAGTAAGTCTTCCATAAGTAAAGCCACCAAAAGATTACAGTCTTCTGAAATGTCTTGTTGTGTAGTGCGGTAGAAAGTTACTGACGTTTAAGAGGGATCTGCTGCCTCCATCTTCAAGGTTGAAGATCCTTCTACCCCAAATATGGAGAGAGCAAGTTCCTCCTAAAAATTTTTAACTACCTATCAGATTGTTTAGAAGCATACACCATAAGCCAATAACCTTCATACTAGGCATTGTAGTACCCTCAGCCTCATAAAGCAACATGAGGTTGATGTAGAGATGTGTACGCACAAAAACTTGCATTATGTTAAACAACAAATTTTGAATCAAAACTTTCATTTTTAGTCCCTGATCTTGTGGAGACTGTTGCTGTCACAAATGAGAAGATCCAAGAAGACTGAATGAATATTACAATGTACCGAATTTTGTTTCTTGTTCATGAGGTCATGGGTTCAAATCGTGCCCTACCTGGCTGTCTTGACATGTTTTTACAACTTCAATAATTTCCTCCTTGCAACTGCCCTCATAATACAGTATCATGAAACATGCACTGTTTGATGTTTTTACACACTTCCCATTCCTCTTCCTCAGCCACATATTCAGCATAACTTCATCAACTGACTTGTCCACTTGTACCTGTGTTACATTTTATGGATTTTAAATAAAGTATGAATTGTGAACTGCTTAAACCGTGTCACAACCTAGTAATAGATTACCCTGTAACTCATTTAGTTTCAGTTGTGAGATGAAGGAGGTTCAGATGGTCCAAATGTGTAGACTAGGTGGGAGAAGTAATGGATACGAGTATTGGTATTTTGGTTGGGAATGTCTTTGGAAGGAAATAATCTGAAGCCAGGGAAGTAATATTAAGATGTTGGTGGAGACTACAGGGAAGTACATTCTAGTAATGTAGATAGGATTTGACAGGCTTGGGATTGAATCCATTGTTGAACCTTGGTGTACGTGTTGTTGATCCCACAAGGAAAACATGCATATGTTCATGCGTGCGTGCATGTATAAATGTGTCTACATGTCTGCCATTTGAACTCAGGCGTCAAATTGTAATGTATGTTTTTATTTTTCAGAGTTCATGTGTTGGTAGTATCAAAGAGTGGAGATACCAGCACAAATAGAGACATGCTGAGTTATCTCATCCCAGAAGCGGCCTCCGTAGTCTAGAGGTAACGTTCCCACCTCATGACTCGTAGTACGCGGATTCAAATACCCGGTGGAGATCGTCGAATTTTTAAGGGCGGAAAAATTCAGGGAACAAGTCCTCCGGGAGGGACTTTAAGCCGTGGGTCCAGTGTCGTAGCTTTACGGCACGTAAAAGAACCTCATATCTCCAAAGGAGGTCACTGAGCCAAATTACAGACGTTTCCCTCCCAACAGTAGTCTCTAATACCTCTGGTAGATGGGGGAAGCATTATAGATACCTCTCAGCTAGTAGAGCCAGTCTCGCTGGCTGGGCGGGACTGATGGTAAGCACCAGTACCGGTAGGATATAGAGACTGGTAGAAATCATAGAGGGAAGCACAATGGACCAATGCAGGTCTAAGTGCATGGGGAAACCAACCCTCTCCAATAACTAACTAACTAACTAACTATCCCATCCCAGCACTGTTTTCATTTTCAATGTATGTTTTTTCTTCTTTCTTATTCAAAACGTGAAGTGAGACTGAATCCACTTGGTATGCCAGCCACTGTTGGGCCTGTTATAGCAGCCCTGGATGATAGATGAGTGTGGAGCAGTTGGTGGAATGAAACTTGGCAGGAGAAACTGAAGTACTTGGAGAAAACCTGACCCAGTGCCACTTTGTCCACCACAGATTCCATATGACCTGGCCTGAGATAAAACTGGGGAAAATGCAATGGGCAGCCTGCCACTTTGAAAGATGATTGAAATCCACAGCCTCGCATCCTATTTCTTTGATATTCTGGCTTTAGAGGCCCCTGACACTCAGCATTCCCATCTTGTGCTTTCTCTCTCTTAGGCCAATTTACCAAATCTGTCTACTGTGGTATAACTCCATGTAGTCCAGAATGTGGGTTCAGATGTTTCAGAAGAACATACTGCCTCCATCTTCAGAGTTGGAGGCCATTTGTAAAATTTCATGACATGTTTTACAGAGAGGGATAGTTGTCTCCAGCATCTACAAGCTGAGGGCATGCCACAGTAGCAAGCAGCCTGTGTAACACATACCAAGTCTCTGAAGTTGCTTACCTTATTGGCCAGCGTACTTGCTCACACTTGAGTCTCTGTGGCAGCCACCAACATAGCAAAGTTGTAAGAAATCTATCAGGAATTACTTGGTTCAGATCCCAAATGGAAACTGCATACTTTGATGAAGCTTTTTTGACCTTTGCTGCTGTTCTTTCAGATGAATAATGGAAAAGTTTCTTGCAGAAGACCATTAATGCTATTTTCTGCACATACAAGTATATCTATTTATATGCAATACATAAGATAAAGTCCTGGTGCTTAATTAGTTAAGCACTCTGCCATGAAGACATGTGGGGGTGGAGATATAGCTTCATCATTCTTGACCTCGGCACAAGATGAGGTGAATTGTCAACTTCATGCCCTGGCCGCTTTATCTTCAGAGAAATGGCCCGAGGTACCTATTGTACAGGAGGCTGAATTGGTCTGGACACCATGGAGAAGAGAAATGTCTAGCCCCAGCTGGGAATCAAACCTTGGCTGCCCAACCCTTAACAGATCGCTCTACACACTATACCCAGTTAGCTCCATAGTATATATCTATATCTTGTTTATATGGGGTGGTTGGTAGCGTAGTTGGTTGAGGCACTTGCTACAAGCCAGAATGTCGCGGATCCGCTTCCTGATGAGGTCATTGGACTTTTTTAAATTTACCCAACCCTTCCGCCCACAGTTAGGCCCTGCGGTCGACTCAGCTTCCGGGAGGGGGGGCTAAGGCGGCCGGCGCGTAAGGCTGACAACCTTAAAGCCATCTGTGAGCAGATTGCCTAGGGGAGCCTCAATCTTTCACAACCTATGGACGCTATGGACTGTCAAGGTCTGTTAGAGGAATTCGGTAGGCTACAGAGTGAGCTAGCGAGACCGGTAGGATTGAAAGTAATTGGAGTGTAACAGTAGATGGCAGACTTGCGAAAATCCGGCGCTGCGAAGTATAAACGTAAATTTAAAATGGCGAAGGCACATTGCAGCGTAGGATATACTACTCGTGATGGTAATAAGACAAAGGTAAGACATTTAATTACTTTAAAATTTGCATATAGATAAACTCAGAATGTGCTTGCAGTATACCTATGCAATATCCGTAAACTCGAATTGTTTCTTAACCACTCGTGTTTTGAGCGGGATTTTTGAAGTGGGTTGTACCAAAATGCAGGTTTGTAAAAAAATGAAGAATCGGTAGTTCTGCATATTAAACCTGTAAACAAAATTTATACTATTGGAGCACCATATTCAACAGTTTAGGATACCATGGTGAGGTTATTTAAATTGTTATTAAAGTTGACGATTGAAGTGGCGCCATGTAATACATAAAATATTTGGCGGGTCAGTGTAATAATTTGTACACGTTAAAAACATAAAACGGGAATCGGTACGTAAATATGCCTGTTTAACAGTACTTATATCGTAAAGACCATTATTATGGTGGCGAGTGAAGGTTACAGTGGCAGGGGTGGCAGGTTCTTCCAAAGTTTTGATACCAATCCACCAGACTATACGGCGTCACATCCCAGAAGACAGAAACGTTCAGTAGAAGTATTCTTGTGCAATGATTTCAGTGAAGTTTCAAATATAATAATTTATGTACAGTATATATTTAGGATACATATTTTCAGATTTTATTCAAGTAGATGCTCTGGTGTTTAATACTTCTAAGAATTGAAATTGTTTCACAAAATTTGCAAGAAGATGTGGATCCATGCAAAATATTGTATTGATTACATCACAAAAGGCACTTTGAACAATGCCCTTGGCACATCCAATTTGTCATTCACCACCATATGATCAGTATGTGTGTTCCGATACAAGTTTCTGGCTATTACACTACAGTACAACCTTGTCCGATGTAAATTTGTTTACACACAAGCACAAGTATGCCCTGAATGCAGATAATCTGAATATATGCAGTCTGTCAAATATGGTGTAGCAGTGTACATGTTCTCTGTTACTTTCTCCTGAGCTCTCCAGTACTCCTGCATGTCCCTCACTCAAATTGCCCTTTGACTTAAACAGTTAAACCTTCTCCTTTCAAGCATGTCATCAGTGGAAGCCATAATTCATAGGTAAATCATTTATAATAAACTAAAACATTTAATACCCTGTATTTTTATTTACCATGCTTAATTGTGATGTTTATAGTTTTATTATGATTTTATTCTATATACAGTGTAGGTGGGGCTATTCATTTGTGTGTGTGTGTGTGTGTGTGTGTGTGTGTGTGTGTGCATGTGTCTGCACATGCACATGTTTGTAAAAAATATACATGGCAAATTATTAATGGGAGGCTTTACATGGACATCCTCACATATCTCCATTTATCCCACATGGCTTTAAGCCTGACCAAACCACATTAAGGGCCGCACCATAGCTCAAGCAGTTAGTCGCTGGCTTCCCACCGTGCTGGCCCGGGTTTGATCCCGGGTCTGGTCAAGTGGGATTTGTGGTGGACAAAGTGGCACTGGGGCAAGTTTTCTCCAAGTACTTCGGTTTCCCCTGCCAATCTTCATTCCACCAATTTCTCCACAATCACCCTCACCTATCATCTGGGGCTAGTATAATAGGCCAGAAGTGGCTGCAGTACAAGGGACTTAGTCCCACCCCACTAGCAATAAAAAAAACACATCAACCTGCCTCGCTGTCCTCAAATGAGACTTGACTTTATATATTTCATGTGTTTGACTGTTATTACTTGTTATCTGTGTGAGACACCATGCTGACAGTATGATGTCACTGCCTGTCCCCAGTGGTTCTGATACTTGTAATGCTTTCCCCCAAATATTTCATTCTTCTCTTACACAGACACTTTACTGAAGTTGTTTACATGCTGGAAATTGGCAGTAGAACACAAGATTCAATTAACCATCACTCATTTTCTCCAGAGCCCTGGGAGTTTCTTCTGAAGTTCATCTTTTATTTCAGTCCCTAGTCCTTTTGTGTTCTGCTCATATCCAAATATTCTATGAGCCTGTATGTGTGGCAACAGAGAAACTCCACAGCGTCCCAGACTGCCTGATTCTGGCACTGGATACATCTTTTTTGTGTTAAATGCCCATGGTCAGATATATCTGAGTTTGCAGAGGATTGTAATTATTTCCATAGGTTTATAATATGATATTAAGAGAGACGAGGTTAGACACCATATAAGAAGGAGTCTCACTAAACTATCAGATGTGTGTCTCACTGCAAAACTGTTTTCATGGAGAAAAATGAGTGAACTACACAGGATGTCCCACGAATTTCAAGTTCAAACTGGATGTGTTAATATTCATGAATTATAAATTTTGCTCTTAGTACTTATTTGTAAAAGTTTACATCACTGAGTAATTGTTATATATTTGATCTTGCTCCCCATTCTTCTCTGTCTGGGTCACAAATGTAGAAGCACTTAGTGAATATCTTCCAGCAGATTTAGTTCCATGTCTGACATGAATTAATGCTTTAAAGCATGGCAGTAACTATATATACAGGCTACTTTTAACATTTAGAACCTGTACATTTTGCTCACGCAGTGATTTTATGAGTTTCATATGATTATCACACTAAATGGAGGTTTTTATCCTTAAACAACATTAACTGGGTGGTCTCTTTGACGAAGACACAGTATGTTTTCTATGAGGTTGGAACTGAAATTTTAAATATTATTGTGATGAACCCCATGCTAGAAAGCATTACATTCCCTCTGACTGTGTAGAATAAACAGGAAGTTTGGTATCCAGGGTCATGTGATGTTAACAGGATGGTCATCCTGAGCTTGTAGCTCAACTGTGAAGTCCCACTGTTGTGACACAGCCCCACGGCGACACTCAGACAGCCTCACTTCTGATGTCGTCCCAGATTCTAGACACTGCCCTGAAGATAACAGTACAACAGCTCTTCCATGGCGACTCCACTTCTGTAGACAACAAATCATACTTCTCATTGCATAAAGGGTAGGGTAATAATAAAAGACTATTCATGTCAAGTAATTGTGTTGATGATATTATAAGAATTATATTGGTGACAAATGTCCAGAAACCTTTATGTATAACACAATTACTTGACATTAATAGTGTTTTATTATTACCCACTACATGTCTTAACCCTATTTCTGGGTCATCTTCAGGTGGAACAAACTCTTAAATATCAATTGTCTGAATTGTCATGCCATTCAGTTTAATAGAACATGGATCCCTTGTTCAGATAGTGGACACTGGCTACAAAGTGAATTTAAATGTAACATAATGTAAACACAAGAAGCCTAATCATTGAAGTGAGGTCACTGAAAATCAAATGTGAAGGAAAGAGATGGCAGTGTTGTATGACATGATGCTGTGGAGTCTGATGGAAAGTTGGCAAGACTGCGGAGGAACCTGCAGCCACCATCTTTAGCACAGCTGCAAAATGAGGGTACAAGTACAAGGAAACAGGAAAGCAAGCATGTGATGTGCAGGAAGAAACATTTCTTCTTGCCATTTTTCCACCTGTTTGGCCTTATTCCTTTTTAGGGCCACCCATCTCCGGAAGATTAACAGTTTATGGGGCTACAGGGAAGCTTTGGCAGGCTGAGCAAGCTGAGAGTGGTTTTCAAGCCCTCTTTCCACAAACGTAGCCTGACGGGTAGATGCACCAACCTCATTTAAAATTTGTTTATGGCCCATTTTTTATGAGATGCTCCTTTTAGTCTGCTTATGCCAAAATAAATTAAAGGAGGCTTATGGGATCACCATGCTGTCTGTGTGTCTGTGTACCCCCCTCCTCAACTTTTGAATGCCTGAACCAATCTTTGTGAAACTTGGTATGTATATCATGGCATCTGAGCCCATGTCAACAGCGTACTTCATGAACCCCTCCCATCAGTCTGTGTGTCTGTATGTATATCCCCCTATCACTGCTAGGCAACAGGTCAATAAAAACGTTACCACAGCAACGAATACAGACACAACAGTAGAAGAATTGTTGGACATGGTCTGTGTCATATGAAGGAAAGCGGGGATTTGTTCCTCCCGGCACTTCTTGTTGGAGTATGAGTGACCTCACCTGCTGGTACGACTGCGTACATGTTTCCAGCACTGGGCACTTGGCTCTGTCGTGGACTGTGAGGCACAGTTTCCTATGTTGGATGCTTGCAGTATGGACACTAAATGCCCAGGAATGTTGAGAGGGTTCTGATTCACTGCACTCTGCCAGTTTTATAGCAGAACTCTCTTCTACAGACTGCAGACACAAGGAACCCTGTCTCAGTTGTCCAAATGCGGAATTCTCTTCATTTGGCAACCTTCAACATAATTGTATGATGTAATTTTACTGTGCTTCACTCCCCAACCACAAATGTCACACCCAATAGACATGGGCCAGTAACAACACAATGCATTGAAGTCTGCATGTAACAGCATATCAATCATTTAGTCACTGTCAGGAATGCCACACCCAGCAAACAAGACAGAATGACAACAGAACTACATGGGATGCCCATGCATGACAAGTGCACTACAGTGTCCATCCACTAAAGGGTGAAACTTGAATTAATTATCGTCTTTAATTTTAAACATATTTAACTAACTGTTAACTTTCAGCTTCCAATTAATTAAAATTGGTGCTTCCTTCCATAAGAGGTTGATACAGGTTACAACTTATGATGTACTTGAGGATGTCCATGTAAGGTTGAAGGTCGAAACATGTTGTATTTATAACAAAAGCGAATGAAATGTGGCAAGAATCATGCAGCCATAGAAAGATTTACAAAAGCTGCATTACTAAGACTGAAAACAAACAGCTAAGCTTATTGCCCTGTATTTTTTGTTAATTGTATTCATAAATGAAGCTAACGGAAGTTGTAGCAAGTGATGAAACACACAATTTGTTTCCACTGCCCTGTTTCTGTAAATCTTTCAGTTTTCAGAATAATCATGCACAAATGAGCAAACATCCCAGAATTGTTATGCTGTGCCCATATTTCATAACTATTTCTGGCCTACCCTGAATTTCAGACTCAAATTTCCTCCAACAGAGTCTCTGAGAGTCTCATAGTAATGTAGGTATTAAGAAACTCTGATTTGTCCAACACAATACCCTACCCCAAGGCAAATGTGTTTCACTAAGATCTGTTTTAATATTATCTCCCAAGCTCTCCCAAATGGTCTGTTTCCTGTCAGTTCTCCTGCCTCAGACAGTCTGATCACAGGAATAATGTTTGCTGAATCTGACTCATACGAACAAAATGGAGGGTCTACTTTCTAGTTCTCAGTTACACAACTCATACAGAAGCCTCAAACCCAAAATCAGTATTATCCCCATACCCCTTGAACTGATTACCGAACTAACGGGTAAGTGAATCCCTGTATGTAATTAACACTCAACGAAAGTCCTCAGATACTGTTACTGAAATGACTCGATATTTACTTGAGCTCAGGAAAGATGTTTTCCAAATACCACTGAAAAGGTTTGCAGTCCAATTGGCTCTTCACCTCATGTTGTTCCTGTAAGCTGGGAAGGAGAACATTCATCAGTCATCAGTCATCATCATCAGTGACTATGAAGAACACTGTCTACTGGGATCTGATATCATACAGTCCAGTAGAAGTTCCCTAGCGTTTCAGAGGACTGCACTGCTTCCATCTTCAAGGTCAAATAGTAAGCTATGCTGCTAGCTTCTTGATAGTTGTTTACTTGAGTTACTCTTTTCCCCTGAAGGAGGCAGCACCTTTCTTCGAAATGTCAGTGAACTTCCACTGGTTTTCTTGGCACCACATCCCAGAATATAGTACTCTTCTGTCATTATCATATTCTGCAGTACGTTTTTATCTATGAGGGGATTTAATGAAGCTTTATCAGTTGTGACAGTTTTCCAAATATCAGATGAGATAAATGGATGGTTATATACATGGTTGAACAAATGTTAGCTCATTTCACTAGTCAGACAAAGTTCCACTCACCAGATGTTTCTCCACGAGACAAACTGTGCCTACTCATGTTGCTGCAGTTGCTCTGCCCCAACCCACTGACAAAAACACTGTCCCTAACGTTATATATTGTGTGTACAAGTACTATGACCTGGAGAATCAGGGTTGGATTCCTGGGAGGGTCAAAAGGTTATTCTGATCCTCACAAGGTTCAGACTGGCTATGAGGCCCACCCAGCCTCCTGTTCAGTGGGTACAAGGGCTCTTCCCCCATGAGTGAAGCTTATGGGGCATGAAGCTGAATACATGAAATTATACCTCCACTCCCATATACGTCTTCATGGTGTGGTGCTTATAAGTATAAGGACAGCTCCACTTTTTTTTACTCTCTGTGGATATGAGATAGCATTTATTGCAGAGGACGGTATCAAGAAATGGATGCAGATACTGTGCTGCAAATGGTTAGCCTGGATTCTTCATTCGTCATGAACAAGCAGACAAATGGATTTGCCATCAAGACATATGGGGGAGTGGAGTATTCTTGACCTCAGCACTAGATGGAGGTGAGTGGTCAGTTTCATGCCCCAGCCGCTTAACCCCAGGGAAAGAGCCCCCAGTACCCATTGGATAGGAGGCTGGGTGGTCCCCAGAGTCGGTCTGGATGATGTGGAGAAGATAAAAATCTCACACTGCCAGGAATCGAACTTGGGCTGTCCAGCCCGTAGCAAGTTGCTATACCAACTAAGCCATCCCTACTCCTCCCTTAATCAACATTCTTACCAGAATGTGGGAAACCAAGTTTCTCTGTCTATATCAGAAACACATACACATGCACACACAACAGGTAAAATTGTGTTCAACCCAGCGTACTCTTCATGGAGACTATTGCTGGCAGATTATCTGCTGACAGAATTAATACTACCTCTAACCAGCGCCTGCACAACTCTATTGGCGTGCTGTGCTAATGATCATACGCTTCATCACTACGTTCTTAAGGGGATGGTTGGTGTTTCAGCTGATATTCACCTTCCGGCATCCATCATCCTGGCATTAGGCTGGGCCTCATAGAAGAACCTCTTGTGGTCTCCAAGCCACACCTCAGCTACCCTCTTGCTGTTCCTGCAACAGCAGTTGTTGGGTGGCACACACGTCCTGGCATCATGGCTGTCCATGAATTGCAGGTAATTACCGTTACAGATCAGAGGCAGGCGGGCAGTTATTTTGGCTGTCAGGCCACACGTTTCAATTCATATCTCCCGTTGGAGCTCGGATAGCAAAGAGAGTATAGTAATTCAGCTACAGGCTTAATGCTGCTAGAGTCCCGGTCCAGTTCTGGGTGCCTCCCAGATACCAGAGGCCTAGCTTAAGACTGCATGTATCTCTGTCTTCTTGGCGCGGTGCTTAATTAAGCAACTTTACTTTTACACGTCTCCATTTGTATGTGTAGCAAATGAAGGGCATGCAATTAATGGGCAGTTAAGAAGCCTTAAACTTGGCAAGACAATGTAGCCCAAAACTGTTCTTTTCCTTAAAATTATTTCAAATTTACAGCTAATTCCTGCCTCTGTACATATGAAGAAGACTGTGCGTCTGTTTGTTTGTTTATTCTTTATATATTTCCACACCATTGCACCTATTGCAAGCAAACTTTGCATGTTGGTAGGGGATCTCCCGGGAGTGCTTGTAGACACTTGAAAGCGTGCATGGGGTCAAGTTCAGGCAAACTTAGTTCCCCGTTTCTTCCTCTGTAAGAAAGTCATTTCAGTCCTAATAATATGATTGTGACAAGAACTGGATCATAACAGCAGTGGGATAGCTGCTGTGGTATGTGGGGCCAAAACCCAAACTACCTTTTGCCATTGTTAGATTTATTAAAAATGTTTGTTCCTTGTAAAAATGCATTATGCATGATCAATATCTGGTGGAGTTACTAGTTAAATTATATTTAAAATACAGGTGTACACAGAGAAAACATGGTTCTAATATTTATGCTGTGCAACAGGCAGGTGTGGAAGTGTTGTGGATCAGGCCTGCAGGCCAGAGCAGTGGACCAGCTCACAGCAACATTTCCCTCTGTGCCCCCCAAGGGGCTGTAAGATCAGTCTTGAAAGTATTTTCAAAATTTTGAAACTGTGTCTGTTTCTTTCACGTCTCTCAGTGAAACAAAATTATTTTGACCTGTAACTGAATAACTGACTGACTGCCCAAAGAGTTCCCTAACTCCATGCATGAGAATCCTTTTGAGCAGCTGATAGTCGCTCACCTTCTCAAGAAATTACCCTCTCTAATGGGACTGAAGGTTTACTGCCATGTTCACCAGAGCCCACCACTGGTTCCTATTCTGAGCCAGCTGCATTCAGTTCACATCTTCACATTCTGTTTCTTTATTATCCATTTTAATATTGTCCTCCCATCTACACTTAGTTCTCCAAAGGAGTCTCTTCCTTCAGATTTCCCAGGTAAAATGATTTATGCATTTCTCATCTGTGCCATGCATGGTGTAACCCCCATGCATCTTGTCCAGTCTAGTCACTGGCCTTTGCCAGAAACTGAACTGGTCACCCATCCTAGTCACTATACTGACTGACCTATTGCAGCTCCCCAATCTGTCCAGCATGCAGAGGTTATTGTAAGCATACAGACTCCACCCTTACCTGAGATATGTATTGGCATTGCCCCTGGGGAAGGTGTAGGGGTGTCTCCTGCGAAATACATGCCCAACCCTGCTGCAAGGCACCACTTCGACCTTTCCCCCACACAGCCAGCTCTTAAGTGATATCTCTGTTACATGGAAGCAACAATATAATTGGATATTTATGTTTGTGAAGGTCGTGCAGTATCTGGCTGCTGAGTGGAACCTCCACTTCACCGTAAGCCCACGAGGAACAGTACACCATGATTAACATGTTACACTTTTAACTGTTTTCTGTTCATAATACATAATCAGTGCTCCCCTAAACAGGGCACAGACAGTCTCAGCCTATAGAACATATACTTGATGATGGTCTTACACAGGCCGAAACATGTCGCAAAAGTGGGTGGAATGTGACAGTGCACCGACATCTGGACAGCCATCAAGAATTCAGCAAGACAGAGAATGAACTCCAAGTTCTGTCACATGTATGACATACTGGAGGCTGCAGTCACATCCATCTTGAGATGCCTAGCAGCTTCATGGGTCATGACTCACATATAGCACAACATGCCCACAGTCACAGGATTTAGGCAGACTGGAAGGACAGCGTGCCTACCATGTGGGGCCCTTGGATGAAGATAGGCCAAAACGTTCAAAGCACAGCATACATCTTTTTATCCAACTAACGGATATTTTCCAAAGAGAATTCTCTCATAATGACATTAGACCACCCAGTAATTTGGCTAAAGCAGTAATGCTTTAGACTTATATTTGGTAGGCACCTGTTTGAATCCTGACACTGACTATAGTGACTAAGTTCATGGTTTTTCTCAGTCCCTCTAGAAGTATCTCGGGATAATACCTTAAAATAGAGCAATGATCACTTCCTTCCACATCCCTTCCAATCCATTAAACATCATACCACCCAACACTGTTATGGTCAGAGTTGCAGTCAGCGTCATTAAATAAGCAGTAAATAAATAAAATAAAAATATGCTGGACCAGTGTCACAAACTTTTAAAACCCCATCTTATAGTGTTCACAATGAAAGCATGTTAGCTCCTGCTTGCAGTCGCGGTGGTATCTCACCTAAGCTCTCTCCTCCCCAGATGTGTAATCCGGAGTCAAACATCCCAAGCATTCGGAACCAGTTGCGGGACACTAGGAACAGGCCACCTGCAACGGCAGGACTCCTGCAAGGATTTCCACAGTGAGTACAGGTGCCTGATATCTATGTACTTAACATATAATATACAGTGTTTCAGAAATTATTCCGAACACCATTCTCAGCCATGTTACATGAACGTGGGTCCAGTTCTCAGCATCTCCGTAGCTGTGGGTGTGTGGAGCTGGGTTCGGGTTACTGGGTGTTATTTTGTGATGCTGTCAGAATCCAGACTCTGCAGTTTCAAATGTGAGTGATGAATTGGAAAGGATTTGGAAGGAAGCAGTCATGGTGTAATCGAGTTACTGTCCTGGAATTTGACTAGACTGACTGAGCAAAACAACCAAAAATATCAGTCAAGATAGCCAATGTTCCAACCTAGTTTCAAACTGAGAACCTGCTGAATATATCTGTGGAGCATTCAAGTATGTGAGGCTAGTGTTGAAACCGGTCTGTCATGCGCTGTAACAACATTACATGGCATCCGACAGTTCGGTTCGACTGTATCTCTCTTTACACTCCACTCCATATCACTCAGCTGCATGGCCAGTATCAAGACTGATCGGACATACTGTTCCGCTAGCTCAACCCACTCAGATGCAATTTGATGCATGTCAAAACTGATTTCAAATTACTGATAGCTCCATAACTGTTCAGAATCAGACCCATGACCATGCTACATCCCTGGCTGGGAGTGATGTCAGCAATAAGTTCCTGAATTAACGACATAAAGTCATGAAACGTACTGTATATAAATACAGATTTATGTTACCAGCTTCAGTCATAACCAGAAATAATGTGAATTTATGGATTCAGAGCTAAAGAAAACAGGTGCCCTCTCGTCACATGGTAGCAATCAGAGACTTGCTCTAAATATACAGTGTATCAGGTGTAAAGCTTACAGAACATCAAATGGGATGAGAGTTGAAAATGGGACAAGAGTTCTGTGTCTGCCCAGTTTTCTGCATCAATTCTATTTAAGGAAGATGCAAAAAGACATGCAAAGAATTCAAACCCAAGTCACTTTTGCTGGACTTTAAATTTACCTGAAAATTGTCTTACTGGCATTCTATCAGAAAGGGAAAACATGATTGTCTAGAAGTCTGCTTGTTTGGCTTACTGCTTTGACACTGAAGACATAAGCGGTATGTTCCTCTGAAAGGTCAGTAAATTCTGCCAGACTACATGGCGTCACATCCCAGCACACAATACTCTTCATAGTCACTTCTATGATAAACCCAAATTGAAGTCATCTCAAGCCACCCGCTCTCTCCCATGACCTTATGGAGTTGTAGTGGCTGTCACAAAATTACATGCTTCACAGTTACAACAAAGTCACACATTGTTACTGCACTGACAGTGGAGTCCAGACCACATCAGTAGAGGACATGTTTCGCTGAAATTTTCACTTCAACCTGCTGTAACACTTTCATTTGTAAAATGATCAGTGAGATCTTTTGACCACAGCATACCTCTGTTGTTTGTTAATATAACCATATCTAGACAGTTCATTTGCTATGGCATGTTATTATTTAAATACTTGAAACGTATTTTTCAGCGTTTTGAGATACAGTTCACCATGTAGATGAAAATATACACTGCTACAAATTGATGTTCTGTGTATTCTACCATCTACACTCTGGCCATGAAATGTAACTCAATGTTCATATTTTATTCGATCAGAACCTGCTTTTGAATCAGTCCTTTAGTTCATAAGAAAGTGCAGCGTACGTATGCATGTGTATATTGTATGCGCAGTGGTTTTGTGCCGAGACAGATGTCTCACATTTGGCCATGACCAAGCGGTCAGTCTGCTTGGACAGTGAAGCTGACAAGACAGCCGTGTACACGTACAGTAGGGTGAACTTGTTCCGTAGTGCAGAAGCACATGATTTTGTGATGGCTGCTATAGTTGTGTAATATTCTTAACTCACAGGAAGGGTTCTGCTGGGTTGGTTTGCTGTTCTCTCTGTTTGTGGCTCAGTGGGACCCATTTGAAGTGCAGGCTCCAATCAAATCCTGCCACACAAAATTAATTTACATAACACCAATCTCACCTTTATGCGGTGCATCACAACAAGTTATGACAGTATCACCATTGCATCAGTACAGATTAGGAGCCATGATAGCTCAGTCAGTATAGTGAGTCGGCTGCAGGCTGGACAAACTGGGAGTCAGAGTTCAGTTCCTGGCAGATACAGTGTTTCACGCTTTTCCTCCACATCCAGAGGAGCTGTAGGGTCCACCTAGTCTCTTACACAATGAGTGCTGGGGCTCATTCCCAGGGGTTAAAGTGACCTCCATCTAGTGCCAAAGTTAAGAATGCATGGAGGTGTACCCCCACTCCTGTGTATGCCTCTGAAACGCGGTACTGAATTAAGCACAGAACAACATTACACTGGAGCCGAGATAATGTAGTCAGTATAGTGACTGCCTGTGGGCTGGATGACAGGGATTGGGGTTCGAGTACCAGTAGGGTTAAGAATTTTCTCTTTTCCACGTCATCCAGACTGGCTCTGGGGCCCACCCAGCCTCCTATCCAATTAATTCTGGGGGCTCTTTTCTTGGGGGTAAAGCAGCGGTGGCGTGAAGCTGACCAATTACCTCCAGCTAGTTCCAAGGTCAAGAAAATGTGGATCTATACATCCACCCCCCATACACCTTCATGGCTTAAGCACAGGAACAACTTTACACTTTTTATTGCATAATGATAAAAATGAAGTAGCTGTGTAAAGTGAGCGAGTTCAGAGCCTCACCTCCCTTGAGCTGTGACGAGGTCGGGCGATACTGGAATGTGTCCATGTCTATGACATCAATGACTGGACTTGCCACAGTCTGTGGGTTCTGGAACAAGATTGATATGCTCTTACTGTCCTGATACCATCAGTGCACATCTGCAAACACTGCCCAGTTTGTAGGGTGGTATACATACGTGTATTTCTGGGTTATCTGATGATGATGCAAGTGGCTGAGGCTACATAGCATGCAATTGTTGCATGGTTAGTACAGAAATGAATTGGAAAAGATTTGAAGGGAAACAGTCATGGCCGAATTGAGGTACTATCCTAGTATTTATTTAGAGGCACTCATCAAAAGCATGAAAATCCTCAGTATAGCCAATATCCACACTGAGATTCGAAATAGACACCTCCAAAATACAAGTCAGCCATCTTGCTCTGGGATATAGCCCTTGTTCATAGGAGCAGTTATACACGTACATACATCCTACACTGTTCTGCAATTAGTTGTAATAAGTTAATGAGACTATTCTGTAAGTACTTAATAATATTTTCCAGCATTATGAAGCACAAATTTCTTTACTTGTGTTTCTTGTTCCAAACCATGAAAGTTATTTTCTTCTCTTTCAAAAGTTATCGGCCTGGCTTAACTTCCTCGATCTTGTGCCACCATTCTGTTTTCTGAACTTCCCTTTTTAGACGTATTTGCATGTGTATGAAGCATGTGTTGCATGCACTCCCTCTGTCCATTTGTCTGTATTCAGGACACAACTTGACAACCACTGAATAGACTTTTATGAAATTTGATACTGGGGAATTTTACTCAAGTTTGTCAAGCCGTTCAATTTTTGGTTAAAATCAGACAACAAAAATGAATACCTAACATGAACACATAAATGAGTTTCTGCACACACCCCCAGCATAACTCGCTAAATATTTACTGGAGCAAATGATATTTCAAAACGAAGTTGTACACATGAAACATGCATTTTATATCCTGCACATTTCTGTAACTCTTACAGTTTTCAAGATAATTAAAGAAGGGATATTTTTTAAATATAGAGGCAAATGCATGAACATTTTTGTATATACCATGTATATATTTCCGAACTTGTTTGCCTTAAGATTTTATGTCTATGAATGATGATTCTTACTGAGAACCAGAACCCATAATATTTGCTGATGATACAAGTGTTATAATCTCTAGTAAAATGTTTGATGATTTCTGTGCAATATCAAACAGAGTACTCTCCCACATGAATAAATGGTTCAATGCTAACAGACTTGCCCTAAATTTAAACAAAACAAATGTAATGAAATTTACAACAAATAATGCCCCTCCCTATGTTTTAAATATTGGATATAATGGAAAATATATAGAAGAGACAGTAAATACGAAATTCCTTGGCTTGCAAATTGATAGCCACCTAAGTTGGTCGAACCATATAGATAAATTGATCCCTAAGTTAAGTGGAGCATGCTACGCAGTTAGAAGCATGTTTCATGTCAGCAATACTGAGACTCTCAAATTGATTTATTTTGCCTATTTTCATTCTGTAATGAAGTACGGAATAATTTTTTGGGGTAACTCATCTTACAGCCAGAAGATATTCATCTTACAAAAGAAAATTGTTAGAATAATGGCTGGTGTTAAACCAAGAGAATCATGTAAAAATATCTTCAAGAGGCTAGAGATCTTAACTCTCCCATGTGAATACATATTCTCCTTAATGATCTTCATTGTAAAAAACCAAGAATTTTTTCCAACCAATTCTACAATACACAATGTCAACACAAGGAATAAAAATCAGCTTCACAGACCAGTTGCCAGCCTCTCTTGTTTCCAGAAGAGTGCATATTATACTGGCATTAAAATCTTCAACAATCTACCACCAAATATCACAACTCTTATAGATAAACAGGGACAATTTAAAGTAGCACTAAAGAGATACTTAATTACACACTCCTTTTACTCTGTTGAGGAATTTATGCTTCCAAACAACATAAAGTGTATGTAATGTTTTCTCTTGTTTGGAACACAGGAAAAAAAAAATCTAGTATATGTTAATGTATGGATTTATGATGGATATTTTACTACTTTTGTGAAATCCTTACTATTTATGTGAACTTGAATTGTGCATGTATATATGTATTGTATGATTTTTGACTAATTCCACATCCGGTAGGTCATCTGACTAACTCATGGATCTATGGAATGCTATGTATGTATGTATGTATGTATGAGAAGTGACACTTAATAAGAATATTTTAAGTGCACTGAAGTCTGGGGTTTGACCCACCTGGGTAACTCTTTCAAGAAGAGGCTCCAGCCAACCCACATTGACTTCGCAGTGGCTATCGAGGAACATGAGGAAGTCCCCTCGAGCCTCTAGAGCCCCCAGGATGCGAGATCTGACGAGACCTATGGGAGCAGACAAGCAGTCAGTAACACATCTGCTGAAGTCAGCATTAACCCTACAAGTGCCAGCACCAAGCCACCACTTAAGGCTGCCTCGCCTGCCCTTCTATGTTGCATATGAAAGTGCCTCACGAACTTTAAAATTCTCTTTATTCTGTGGCATATTTTATAATGCTGTCAGCACCTAGACCATACAGCACTTAATGGTAAAACCTTTGATGAATGATAAACTGGAAAACATATGGAAGTGGTTGTGGCCTAATCAAGATACTGTCCAAGACTTGGCTTGAATGGGCTGTGGAAATCCGTAGGAACCTCAGTCAGCATAGGCAGTGTCCCAACTGAGACTTGAACAGAGCTTCTCCCAGATACAAATTTAGAGTGTTACCACAATGCCAAGGGGCATGTGGTAGCGTAGTTGGTTGAAGCACTATACTACAAGCCAGAAGGTTGCGGGTTCAATTCCCAATTCCCGATGAGGTTATTGGATTCTTTTCAATTTACCTAATCCTTCCAGCCACAATATGACCCTGGAGTTGACTCAGCCTCTAACAGCAATGAGTACCAGGAATCTTTCAAGGGGGTTAAAGGGCGGCTGGTGTGAGGCTGACAGGCTTACCGCCATCTGTGAGACGATTGTCTAGAAAATGTGGGAGCCTTGACGTCTCACAACCTTATGGGCCTTCAAGGCCTGTTACAGGGATAGCTTTACTTCTATTTACCACTATGCCAAACCTGCTTGGTCAAAATGTTTCTTGTGGATGTAGTTTGAATAAAATGCCAACAGATGCCACATTCTGTCTGTTATAGCAGTTTTTTGTAAAGGTAGAAGTGTTCGACACTTGGCAATCGTGGAGTTGAAGATTAGAAGTGCTGAAACATTTGAAACATCATTTCTCTGGTACTGCACAACTCGAAAATCCATAAAACTATAATAACAAAAGCCCAGCACCACAACCAGTTTATGTGTGTGATATTCCAGTGGTTTCTAAACCACTGAGTAGTGAGACTGCCTGAATCTCCTATGTTAGGTTTACCTTCCCTTGCCTGGTTTCTGATCACTCGAACTTTGGGGAGGGATGACAGGAGGGCTCCATCTTCCTCTGGAACAAAGGACACACCAGCATTCCATTAACAGGGGGTCCTGAAACTCTGTGACCCCCTAAAACAATACGCAAGCACATACATGACCCTCCATTGTCAGCCAAAGTAACTGTACAGCCTCTCTGCACCCTATCAGCTACAGAATGGTCCTGTACAGTCTGTTTCACTGACTGCTGCTACGTTTTCTGAGACCACACAACTTGTTGAAACTCTGCGTCGATGTAGCTGTATTTGAAACAGTTCCTGTGAATTTGGTGACCCCCCCTTAAAATAGATCGCGACCCACGGTTTGAGAAGCCATGGCTCACCTGAATTCATAGTCAAGAGAACAATATAAATTGCGAGGAAACTTCCATCTCACGGCGTCCATACTAAAATAAATAAACTGATCCATTTTGCTGTGTTTGCATGACGCACATAAAATTAACACACAATGGTGAGGTCAAGATGTCTCTTTGCCCGCATATTTCAGCTCTAAAAACTGATTAGCCAATTTAGTTGAATTTGTGGCGACAAAGCTCGGGACATGTTTCTGAGAGGTACTCACATTTGCCTGGAAGGACTGGGGAAAATAACGATAAACCGCAGTATTTGAGGGTCTCACAGCGGTGGTTATGAAGGGTTCTTTCTTCAGAGATCGTTGAAAGTCAACCGACGTTTCGGAGGAACATGTCGCCTCCATTTTCAGGATCGAAGAAGAGCAAGCGTGAAAGCAGGTGGCAAGCAGAGCTCTATATGGCATTGTAGCCCGGAAGACAGAAACCGGTAACCCGCCGGAGGCTGTCCGTCTGTTCTGTGTAAAGGAACGTAAGTCCCTGGAAGATATGTGAAACTGTACGGGACGCTAACGGGACTGACAACAGGCACTTCGCTGATGATACATCTGTGTGTAGAGGAGTTGAGTAAGTTTGTCGTCTGCGCGTTTCACGTCACAGTTTTTGACGTCATGGTATTATGAAACTTATTTCAAGTAGCACACAAAAACTTGACTGTCCACAGTAAAGTTCTTCCACTCTTGATGTAAAGCGGGAAGGGGGGGGGAGCGAGCAACACAGCGGCCCACCGGTTGTATCTGTACCACCGAAAGACAGATTCAGATTTTGGGCTCTCACCATTTGGTCGAAAGATTTGTCAATTTAAATTAGATAAGAAAACATTAAGAGCACAGCAAACGCCTGGACCGCTTGCTGCCGGGGAATCCCCGCCTGCTGTCTAATGGTATAACGGTATGATCTTGCCTACAGTTTTGTACGGGTGTCAGACTCGCTCTCTCACAGTAAGGTCACAGCACAGATTGTGGTAAGAAGGTAAAGCTGTGCCTGTAACAGGCCGTGGGGGCCCATAGGTTTGTGAGACGTCGAGACTCCCATATTTTCTGGACATTTGCCCGACAGGTGGAGATAGATTTTCAACCTTACGCGCCCGCCGGCCGCCCTTTAGACCCAAAGAGAGATTCCTGGTACTCATTTCTGTTAGAAGCTGAGTCGACCCCAGGACCATAGTGCGGCTGGAAGGATTAGGTAAATTAAAAATTGCAATGACCTCATCGGAATCGAACCCGCCACCTTCCGGCCTATATTTGGGCTGTTTGAGCATTGGATTTCAGGAGAAGTTTGGACCGAAGATGGAGAAAGGAGTAACAGAATATTTTAGAAAAATACATAATGAGTTGCTTCATAATTTGTATTATAATGATATAATAAGGGATTATTAAATGGGTACGGCATGTAGCACGCATGACAGAAGTGCATAGAAATTTTTGGTAGGATCATATGAATGAGGAACTACTAGAAAGACCCAGACGTAGATGGGAGGACATTAGAGTGGATCTTAAAGAAACTGCAAGCTATAGTGTGGACTGGACTCACCTGGCTCAGGATAGGGGCCAGCGACGAGCTCTTGTCAACATAGTAATGAACCTTCGCCCCCCCCAAAAAATAAATCTGGGAATTCTTTGAGTCGGTCAGCAACTGTCAGCTTCTCTAGAAGGACTCAGCTCTATGGAGTTAAGTTCAGCACAGTTCAGTGAATGGCGCCAGGGTAGTGCTACACTTCGCCTTGCCGCCATGTTAGTAGTGTTGGTAGAAGGTAGGTCTAAAAGGATGGAAGGCCTATTGGGATATGACGCCATGTAGCTCCGGTAGAAGTTTACTGACGTTTCGGAGAAACATACTGCCTCTATCTTCAGCGTCGACGATGTGACACTCGAGCCGTAGGCATCCAAAATAAGCGAAACTGGCGCAGAGGAATGAAACTGGCAAGAAAACGTAAGAATATGAGAGGTGAAACAGAACATTAAGACAAAAATGTTTCTTGCAGACTACTGAGCCTTGTTTGTTTGGCCTCAGTAATCCCCCAGACAGATTAAAATTATCGTAAAACAGCATTCTAGGACCTCACAGATGCCTGAATAAAATCATGAAACAAGATTCTGAACTGTAGGGTTTCAGGTCCTCGCAGCAATGAGCAGTTCTCTCTCTTAGGATATAACGCCGTGTAGTCCGGTGAAAGTCGACAGACGTTTAGGCGGAACATATCGCCTTCAATCCTGAAGATGGAGGCGATATGTTCCTTCGAAACGTCAGCTAACTTTCAACGGACTACACGGCGTTATATCCCACAATACAGAAGTCTTCAGGATAATGGATCATTTGGACTATGGTTGTGCTGATTTAGTAACTTTGTTTTGCGAAAGTGAGTATCAGTTGCGGGGCTCGAACACGTGTGCCCCCAGTCAGAAGTACCTACCGTTGTCACTGCAGTCGTCCAGCAGGATCACCTCCTCGACTAGATCGGACGGCGTCCTGTTGAGCACACTGCAACGAAGAAAAACTGTCTGATGACTACTGTTTTCGTGTTATCTGATAGAGCTACCTGCCGCGTGAATGGCGTGACATCCCCGCGGTCACTACTGTGACTTCCTGTCCGTCTGCGGTCGTTGCTCCAATATGAGAAATTCCGGCAATGTCCGCAAGGACTGAGGAAAACCACGAACAACTTCAGGTGTACAGTCATATAGACGTGCTGTAGCGGCACTGAACACGAGAAACAACAAAGTTATTAGTGGCCTGAATCTCACCTGATGACGGTTCGGAGTAGCGCAGACCGCGCCTCGTTGTGGAAGGCGACGATGACAGACGTTGTCTCCAGCGGCAGCTCGCCGTAGTTCGACGGGTCGTGACACCTGCAACATCCGCAAGGGAGTGTGAACGGGTGCGTGTGCGCGTGCGCAGGGCACATGAATACCTGTACCGTATGATACTGAGCGCTCAGGATTACTGGATTTCCTGGACTTTGTCCATCTTCTAGTATTCTAAAAGACGCCGAAGAGCACGACGTTTCGGAAACTGGTTCGTTTCTGTCCTGAGGTGAGGGGTGGGTATGGATCCGGTATATACCCTCCCTTTATGGAATTATAACGTCTAAGAAATCAGCAAAACCACGGAATCACATATCTTTCCTCGTGAGATGAAGTTCTGACTGACTCGTAGCGCCGGTTGTGTTCAAGATAACTCTACACGGACCCCACAGAAAACACCATCTTCTTTTGCTATATGCATGTTTACAGCTTCGTTGCCTGGAAACAGACGCCCTATTGTTCTGTGCGTTTGCTTGACGCGGACCACATAGAAAACACAGTTTCCCCTATATTGTCACGTTCTTTGGTGGGAGGGTTAGCGACTGTTGCATAGAAATGGCAGTTCTTCTGTTGTTGCCTGTATTCGTTGCCATGAGAATGTTTGTGGACATCCCTCTGTTGTTGCGTAACCTAGCAACGGACTATTTACCAAGAATGTGTCTTCGCCTGAACTTGTTTACCAACCAATTGCCTAGCAATGGGTGTACATGTAACAGTATACATTATTTAGAAACAATCTCTCTTTAAAGGAATAGTAACCAACAGAATAAGGTGTCATCTACCTCAACATCTGATTCCAAGAAATTTATCCTGAATCATTTAATAAAGAAACATATGCACCATTGTCAGAGCCCTTTAGAGTCTACCGATACTGGGTGCCTTCGGAACCAGACTTGTGTTTATCGCTGCTAGATATGTTGCTAGTGTGCAGGCTGAGGCCCATGACGATTATACTCGTCATAATATTCCAGATTGGAAAAGGTCTGTTAGTTAAATCGTGTGGCTACTGGACATGTTGAGAGCGGTGACGATAAGACTTGTCATTTTACCTCAGTGGCTGGAGCGCGGTTGTTACTGTGCTGTGCAAATTGAAACCAATGACGAGTATGTGAAGTTTATACCTGGTGTCCCTGGTGTCTGGTAGCGCCCTGTCGCTAGGAAGCATGCTGCTGTTGCGCAGATTGAAGGCATGACGAGTATGCTCGTCATCATATGTGAAGTTCATACCTGGTGTCTGGTGGTATCCTGTCGCTAGGAAGCATGTTGCTGCTGCGCATATGGAAGGCGTGACGAGTATGCTCGTCGTCATATGTGAAGTTCTTACCTGGTGTGGCTGGTGTCTGATAACGCCCTGTCTCTGGGAAGCATGTTGCTGCTGCACAGATTGAAGGCGTGACGAGTATGCTCGTCATCATATGTGAAGTTCATACCTGGTGTCTGGTGGTATCCTGTCGCTAGGAAGCATGTTGCTGCTGCGCATATGGAAGGCGTGACGAGTATGCTCGTCGTCATATGTGAAGTTCTTACCTGGTGTGGCTGGTGTCTGATAACGCCCTGTCTCTGGGAAGCATGTTGCTGCTGCACAGATTGAAGGCGTGACGAGTATGCTCGTCATCATATGTGAAGTTCATACCTGGTGTCTGGTGGTATCCTGTCGCTAGGAAGCATGTTGCTGCTGCGCATATGGAAGGCGTGACGAGTATGCTCGTCGTCATATGTGAAGTTCTTACCTGGTGTGGCTGGTGTCTGATAACGCCCTGTCTCTGGGAAGCATGTTGCTGCTGCACAGATTGAAGGCGTGACGAGTATGCTCGTCATCATATGTGAAGTTCTTACCTGGTGTGCCTGGTGTGTGATAACGCCCTGTCTCTGGGAAGCATGTTGCTGCTGCACAGATTGAAGGCGTGACGAGTATGCTCGTCATCATGTGTGAAGTTCATACCTGGCGCCCTGTCGCTGGGAAGGATGTTACTGCTGCGCAGATTGAAGGCGTGACGAGTATGCTCGTCATCACATGTGAAGTTCATACCTGGTGTGCCTGGTGTCTGGTAACGCCCTGTCGCTGGGAAGCAAGTTGCTGCTGCTCAGATTGAAGGCGTGACGAACGAACGCGTCCTCATCCCTCTCCGTCCCGACGTACTGGAGCTCGTTCATGAGGACGACGGGCTCCCAGCGCGGCGCGGACCCGACCTGAGAGCACGTGGTATGCTGTTACTCGGCTCTTTGGCTGGGACCGTCCTCACAGATCACTCACGCCGACACTCATGCCCCTCCATGCTTTGTGTGTGGATCGCCACAGGATTTGACGTGCGTAGATCGACCAGAAAGTAAGTACCGTTAAAAGAGTGAAGTTTACAGAAAGAATTACGTCACTACTACAGACCTTAAATAATTTTCCCACATAATCCGCATGAAGATTCAGATACTTGCCGTACCGTATGACGCTTTTCTGTATGTCCTCATTGCAGAAATCTGCCGCCGATCCACTGAAGCAGTTCCCAGCAGTCTTCTTAACTTCTTCATCACTACGCATGCGTGTGCAATTCGCAGACGGTCTCTACTTTCTGGGCGACCCACCTACCCGGAATATGCAGTGTATAATGTGGAAGATTTTCCAACGTTTCGGCAAACATTGTGGCTCCTACCGTCAGGGTTAAAGTCTATGGGGAGAAGGGGGTTCTGACAGCGGGCGGTGAGTGGTAGGTGGCTCTGTGTTTGAACGAGACAGAGGAGCGGGGAGCTGTCCCATTGTGGGTGGGCAGGTGACGCCGTGGTATGCACTCTGTCCGCAGAAAGCTTGCGTCTGCGCGCTTGGGTGCTTGGAGTGAATAAAGATCTGACAACAGTGCTACATTCTTCAGCCTGAACTCGAACGTGCAGCGTCACATTCAGGTGGGCTCAGAAGCTATAACGTCTAGGTTCAGAAAACAAGGAGTTATACCTTCACTCCCCCATATGTTTTTATGACCTGGTGCTTAATTAAGCATAGGGACATGTTCGCTTTATGTTGCCCTTACACTCACTGACACGTAAGTCCAGAAATATTTCAAGCAAAATTAGGTGTTCATATTGTGGTCTTACCGCCTTGCAGGAACGTATTGTCCCTATCTCTACCCTGAAGGTGGAGGCAGTATGTCCCTACGAAACCTTGGTGCCCACCTACCAGACGGCATGTCACAGTAACCCAGAAATGTTATGCAGTAATTCCCTTCGTGTCACTTATTTTTTGTTAATCATTCTTTTATTAAATTTATTGTCCCTGTACACCTCTTGCTGTCTTCGTTGTTCACTTTCCTTCATTCTTCCTTTCTTTCTACATCTTGTTCATTTTTCTTGTGTCTCAGTCTGTTCCCCCTTTTCACCTTTCTCTGCACGCTCTCTTCCGGTTCTAGCTTGGCCATGCCACAGTTTGGGCGGCTAGTCGCCGGCTTCCCACCGCGGCGGTCCGGGTTCAGTGGCAGATCAGGTCATGTGGGATTTGTGGTGGAAAAAGTGGCACTGGGGCAAGTTTCCTCTGCCAATTCTCATTCTCTTTTTCTTGCCTTTACCGGGACTCGAACTTCGACCGCTCGGCCGTCCTGCCCGTAGCCTGTCGCTCTACCGACTAACTACCCCGGGTGCTTACGCTGCCCGCGGTACTGAGGTGCTGGCAGTGTTATCGCCCCGTCACGGCGAACCGCCCGCTTGAGTAATGTTCCCGCACTCGATTCGCTATACGCTTACGAATATTAGGGTCTTGTAACGCCGTGAAGTTTTGTAGGTAAGTGGCAGCGTTTCCGAGGGTTCAGTCTGATTACAGAGGGCCCTTATGTACCAAACTACACGACGTCACGTCCCAGATGGCCACCGCTGTACAGCTTCACGCTTTCATTATAGCTAATAGAACATGGACTGGATGACCGCGGAATCAGAGTTCGATTCCCCGGCAGGGGCAAGAAATCGTTATCTTCTCCACAGCGTCCAGACCGGCTCTGGGGCCCACCCAGTCCTACCGGGGGAGCTCTCTTTCCCGGGAGGCCGGTGATTGAATCCGACCACACCTGTAACTAGTGCCGAGGTAAAGAATACGTGGATCTATACCTTCACTCCCCCATTCGTCTTCATGTTGTAGTGCTTAATTTGTTGAACACAGGAACAAGTTTGCTTCACCTTCCCGTTACTTCCATACTGCTGTAGCCTGATGCATGAAACAACTTCTCCCTCTTTGGAAGCTGACAGTTGCTCAGATACTCCCACAGTTTACGTAGCCCGAAGGTGCATTGCCGTTTTCACAAGAGCCCACCACTATTCCCTGTATGGAACAATATGACTCCTGTGCACACCCTCAATCCTTCCATCTACTCCTAGGTCTTGCAAGTGTTTGTTTCATTCAGGTTTTCCTGCGAAAACTTTTTATACCCTTCTCTCCTATTCCACACCTTCTACATGCTCTACCCAGCTCATTCTCCTGCTGTTTATAGTTTATACACGTGTCGATATGAAATAAAGTGTAAACCGATTTCATTTAGTGTTCTGTCCACATTTATATGTTTCTGTGTTTCGACGGTACGGATATGTTTAGCCGGTCTGGGTACATCGCCTGATGGCCGCAGAACCAGAAAGTTCATAACAGAAGTCGGTGTCACATAAGTTCACGCCCTGAAAGATAAACACAAGCATGATGCAATCGCGTAAACAAAAATGTGAAGAGATACAGTAGGTCACGAAAGAGAGAGCAGTCTTTCATGTCAGTATATCGTGTCTATTCTATGAGTATACGTACTATTTTGATTTGGTTATGTGAAGTGTACCTTACCGCCATCTATGAGCCGATTGTCTAGATAATGTGGGACCCTCAACGTCTCACAACCCTATGGGCCTTCATGGCCTGTTACAGGGATAGCTTTACTTACTTTTTTACTTTTATATGTGAAGTGTATTGAAAGGAATGGATGAGGTAAAGTTGTCCCTGCGCTTAACGAATTAAGCGACACCCCATGAAGCCGTATGGGGAAGTGGAGGTATAGCTCAACCATTCTTAGCCTCGGTACTAGATGAAGATTCGTCAGTTTCACGCCCCGGCCACTTTACCCGTGGTACCCATTGGATATGATGCTAGATTCGTGAGAGATGGCGTTAAACGCCGGCCTCGACGTGTCATTCGATAACATGTAGGACTTGGAAATGTGCGGGGAAAAGCGAAAGAAGTTAAGTAAACTTCGCCTGCAGTAAATTGTCAAGATGAATGAGGGATACAAAAAACAATTTTAACAATGCATTATAAATTCCACCACATGATAATTTTCATTCAGTACTCAAATTGGCGCACGTGTCACTATTGAACGTAGGACCCAAGACCGACGGTAGCCGTGAAGTTCCCACACCACCATTGCCTCCGCCTGTTAGAAATCAGACACCTTCGGATGGTCACACGCTGCAGTAATTCGCATCTCGTTTCAAAACTATATCGTTCGATTGATATTCGAGTGATCGCTATCGAGTATCGAATATGTGAGCTTTCCATCACAGCTGAAAAACATATGGTACACAGTTACCAGCACTTCTAGCAACCAGGACGCCAATAATCGGGATTTATTGCATGCCCCCAGTCGTCACAGGGAGTAAAACTACCAGATTTGGTGGGGCGTCCTGTTTCTGCACATCGGCTGAAGTATTGTCGTGGTACTCCTCAGTTCTTCCTATCATTTGCCGGAATAGTATTTCAAAATTAAGTCTGGCCTAGAGTTACGCTCATTTTCGTGGGGTGTTCGGTTCGAAACCCGGCCAGGACACCGGCTATCCAGACCGAGGTTATCGTCATCTTCCACAGTCCTTCCAGTCAAATGCTAGGATAGTACCTCCATTAGGACATGACCGCTTCCTTCCAAATCCTCTCCAATTCACAGTTCATTGTTCTCCATACCAAGCGACTCAGAGCCTCGTTTCCTTTCAGGCGGCAGAATTGATGATTTCTATCTTCATGGCCACTTCCTGTCGCTCACCTACTCAACGAGATACGGTGTGCACTGACCATTCGATGCTATTGGCATGTTATTATAACCTGTGCAGACGAAACAGCGTTCTGAAATAACCACAGACTAAACCCTAAGAAGCTGGCATGATGCAGGATGCACATTCGTACGCAACCACCGGCTAACATGCCGGACACCGCCCTTTAGTGCGGGGGCTGAGGACTCCGAAACCAGTCGCCCCTCACGAGGACCCACGCTATGCACTGTGCACACAGTCACGCCCCACTCCTGAGATTCCTCGGTTCCAGTCTTGCCCTGGTGACCGATATATCGAGTGAGATTTGTCGAGGTTTTCCTGAGTAGACTGCCTACCTACCGAAACGACCGACCAGGCTGCACGGCGTAACATCCCAGAACACAGCAATCTGATATGTCCAGAGTTTCATTTTTAGCCTACTTTGTTTATTTTGAAAGAATGGAAGTACGCTTAAGCGGTCTCCGTGTTGTCTGTCTGTCAGTTCCCCCCACCCCCCACCCACAGTTTTTGAATGCCGGAACCAGTCTGAAACTCGGTATGTATATCATGGCACCTTCCAACAGTCTGTGTGTCTTCTATCGTTGCTAGGCAACATCTCGGTAAAGTGTATCCCTCGGGTCACGACTGCAACCCGGCCGTCGCCTCGGCATACACCTAGATTCGAACCTCGGTCCCATGGTCGGGACTCTCCTTGTTCTCCTCCTCGGTACAGTGGCCAAGCAGTCCGGGTTCCATTCGCGGCAGGGGCAGGAGCCTCCTGTCCAATGGGCACCGCGGGCTCCTTCCCAGGGCGTGGAGCTATACCTCTGCTTCCCTATTCTTCTTCATGGCGCGGCACGTAATTTAACATAGAGGCTACGTTATGTTAACTACCTCGCAGAAAACACACTGAGTCCCGTCTCAAAGCCCAACCGGTTAATGCTGTTTAGGGAAACAGTCGCTGTTTATTGTGAGAACCGTACGGAACACACAGATACACTCTGTGGCCAGAATATATAGCAATTCAGTCCGTACCTCACAGAAAACATTATGTCACCGCTACAAAGCCCAACCGGTTAATGCTGTTTGGGGAAACAGTCGCTGTTTATTGTGAGAACCGTACGGAACACACAGATACACTCTGTGGCCAGAATATATAGCAATTCAGTCCGTACCTCACAGGAAACATTACGTCACCGCTACAAAGCCCAACCGGTTAATGC